CTTCATCAATCTCAGCTTGATGCTGATCGCGGCGTGGTTCGAGTCGCTTCCTTGGTACAGCGAGTCACGTCGTGGTCCGGTCATAGACCTCGGCGGCGTTAATGATTTCCTTCGAAACTGAGGAAAATAATTGCGATGCGATTGACCCGACGCCACGGCCGACGATCCGCAATGCGTCGACGGCACGAGCTGTTCCACGACGACTGGGCAAACACTTCCGCCCGTGGCTCTTGAACGCGGTGCTCCGTCAAATTGCATAGAGCACGTAAACAGTCGCATGTATGCGGATAGATTCCCTTAGGCACGACGCACTGTCATATCCCGTCCCGTGTGTCGAGGGCAACCGATATCACACCACCAGGCCACGGAACGCACACGCGCAATCAAAACAGAGAGAGCTCCTCCACCGCGGAACGACCGATCAGCTGTGTATCACGCAGGGCCGTTTGCCACTACTTCATCCTGTCTCCCACCATATCCCTCCCCGTCCCTCCGCGTCGTCCGCCCGTTTCACTCTTCCCTCTGGCCTGTTCGACGATTCTCCCACCCCATCTTTCGAATGGTGTGCTCTCTGCACGTCGAGAGGGACGAAAGCAGTCTCATAGTTGGAACGTGCAAACAAAAATCTCACTTATTTTCTATCGGTATTTCTTTCCTTTTTATTGGTTAAGTCGGAATCATTATGTTTCCAGCTGGTTCTCGTTGCACAGGTCGATAAGATGTTACGAATAAAAGTCTAAAGGCTTAGACCTAGAAACGTTCGTGCATCGAATCGTACGGTGCGACGACACTTTTTCTCTGGAATGTTTATAGAAATTACTTTAACGCGCTAATCCCTTGGACACCTGTTTATCTCTCTAAGCCTTTAATCTCGTCAGCCTGTATCCTCTGGTCTCATTGGTTACGGGTTTTCGTTTAGGATCTCGGGGATTTCATGTTTTACGAGAGAAATCGCGATCTGCGCGCGGCTTTAACGTTCGGTCGGTAGTTAAGGTTGTTGTCTAGTGGTAAATATTTCATTCTCCCGCGAGCAAATAAAATCGATGTACATCGGTGGCGACATTATCTCCGTTCAACGGGAATGTAGATAAAATCGTCGATCGTTAGTGTTGGTAGCAACGCGACTTATTGAGACAACACCGTACGCCCAGCAGCGCGTGGAGGGACATGGGGCACAGAGCGAGGAATAAGGGAATGGAAAATTTACGGCGGTCGGCATGGACAGTCGGGGACCATTATAGGATTTTGTCCTCTCGCCGGGGCGCGCCACGCACGAATTTAATGGCCGTTCGGCCGCGGATGCATCGTCCCACTTTAGCCATAGAGAAATCGAGGTAGGAAAAACAAGCGTCGCGGACGATAAGATCCCTCTTTGCGCACGATATTAAACGGCAATGGTGAAAACCATTCTTTCTTTCGTTGCCTGGCAGAAATCCACGCGGCGACTTATCGCGGGAAAGGTAAATTCCGTGCGGCTCATCCGGCGAGCTTACTCGTTTCTTCTTTTTTTTTCAAAACATCGTTATCTCGACGATCCCCTACAGATAGTTTCGATCGGCTAACCGGTTGAGTCACACGAGTTACCTTACGCCGCAGGTGGTGAAAATTTTCGTAGATGGTAATCGGTAGGAAATTTGTTTTCCGTTCCCGTGGGTATTGCTCACTGGATTTTATTGTATTTGCATTTCTGTTGACGCACCAGAAAAATATGAAATTGTACGCTTTCGAACGCGTGTAGACTCTCGAGAAAAGAGGTTGAAGTATCGAAGAAAATTTGCTTATTGAGACACAAATGAATATTCTTATTGTCGCTATTTTTATTATTATTGTATGCGTCACGGTGTAATGTGCAATAATGAATGAACGGTACATTTGCTTGGACCGTAAGACGGTTTATGTATTCCGTGAAGCGAATGACAATCACCAGATGCCTGAGTAAACAATTTTCACGGAATTAGTGTTCGGTTACGTAGCGAAACGAGACTCTATCGTTTCAGTCATATCACGGATTGTTGGCATCGTGTGTTTGTCAGAGAAACCATTGTGCGTGCATTTGATGATGACTGTTCGAGGAATTAGAACGGAATATTTGTAATGGCGCGTGTACAACACGTGGTCCTCCTCCACTCCCTCGCCTCTCGCGCTGGACATTATCGAATCGACATTTCCCGAAACTATTCTACACGATTAGCTAATATTCATCAATATTTTTTTTTTTGAACAAAACACATTTTCATGAGATCGCGAATTATTCCAATGGTTTCTCGACGAACACCAACGTAATTTGACGTCGAGCTGATTCCACGAGATCGGGGCGAGTAATCCAGATTCCTTCCCCCCCGGGAGTACCCACGGAGTTCTTATCATTCCCATTATATGGAACATATGCGTGGACAATATTGATATGTACATCCGTCTCTACGCGCAACGGATATCTCCGTTGAATCTATAGAATTACGATAAGGCGCGCTTGAAGTATTTCCAATACTCGAAAACACACATTAACCTACTTATATAATTATATTATGTAATTGGGGGATTTTATAGGACGGTCGAATAAGACGAAAATATCACCGATGAGATTGGCACCGGGGTCGCCTGAATTTATTCGCGATTCCACCGTGATTTCGCGTCGAAACAATTCGAGGAGAGAAAGAAGAAGCGCCGTGACTAACGACGGTTCCCTATCTGTCGCCGATAAACCGTCAGCTCCGGTGAACGAAGGATATACTCGCTCGCGCGCGCGCGCGAGCGCGTGCGGGTACAGCATGAAAATTCGCGGGCAATGTAAATGACGAATTAACGAGTTAATTGTTCCCCTTCGTAAATTAACTTGAAACGCGCAATTGACAGTAGTAACTGCACATGACTCAGTTTATACTCGTTCTTATTAAGCATCAATTGACGTTGCGATGACTGTTATAAGGATACCCGAGCCACCGATCCGACCCACTCTCGGAACGCGCGCGCGACGCATCCGTCGTGACTGATCGAAGATCGGGTCAACAGAGGCATAATTCACCTTTCTTTTCTCCTTTCTGCGCTTGGACCGCACTCCTCCGACATTCGTTCGATAATACGCATGCCGCGAACAGGCCAAAAAAGAGAACCTTATTGTCGAGTAATCGCGTTAATAGTCGAAGGATAGATTAGACGGGGTAAAGTTTGTTAAGGCGTCGTTTGCAACGACTCGATACGGAAATAATTCAGAGTCAAAATATTCGTGTCCCTCGCGCAGAGAAATTGGCAATTTGCTAGAATTATTCGAAGCGATCGACGAAGTTAGCGAGCGAACACTCGCATCGTATCGGACGCTATTTTTGTAATAACAATTGGAAGGGACAAACGGCTATTGATTATTCTTTCTGTACGATTAGCGAGCGTCGATTAAACGACTGTGTGTGTTCTAATATTTGATAGTCGCGTTCGTTTCGCTTAAGGGATAATCGGAGATGAAGGAACGCGAAAGGAAATGTTATCGACTTCCAAGTAATGATCGGATGAATTGAAACTCCATTCTTGGAAAGCGGATATCTAATTCCACTGTGAGACTGCGGATCATAGGGAACGAGCAAATATTTGATCGACTATTGCAGCTATGAGGAAATTGCAATGCCCTCTTGCTATTACGCTTTTTATTGTTTATTGATTATAGAACGCGTGAAGTGAGAGTTGCTGTTACTGTTGAATGGGAAGAACACATTGAATCATTGAAAATCGCGATCACGGAATTCACGCATAAAACTGATTTGTTTTCGTCTCAGTTTTACGTAAGAGAAATTGTACGAACTGTGGTATCTAGTTTGTCTGATAACTTTTAAGAGGAAAATCATTATCGATAAGATGTGTTTATTTCCTCCCTGCCTCCTAGGCGGTCACTGTGTCGATACGTCATAGCCGATGGCGTAATGGGTACTCATGAAAACAAGACGTACAAATAGAAGTGTTTTTATCAACAGGTTAAATTGCCCCTATAATTCTCCGTTTAAAATGAGGAATGTATTTCTGTCAACAACTGCATTTTCTGTGATGATATCACCTTGCACGCGGGAGTTTAGTCTTAATACGATCATACGGATTGTTAAATTGATTCACGATCGCTCTCAGTATGTTCGACAATACTACTAGAAACATGTAATTCCGATCTTAACTTGCTTATGAGACTGTGAACACTGGTACTGCAATGAATGTAATGTTAATCGATAAATAAATGTTTTGCGTGAAGTAGGGTTTAGTTAAATATATTTATTTGCTTTCATAAAAGAAAATATAGCACAGCTAAATATGTCTATAATGGAACTTTAAACGTGTACTGAGATACAATATCTCTTTTACTCTGATCACAGTTCATAATTTGTGAAGATTCTATTGTTTGTAGATATAGATAATAGCTACTACTACAAGATGACTATAGTAGCCACAAGTATTATATTAAACAATACTAGTAAGTTTATCATCTGGAATACATCAGAATCATGTTTCTTTTGGAGTACTATCATTGCTTTCGTTTTCTTTTGACTTTGCCTGTTGTTTTATACGATAATCTGACAATGCTGCCTTAATTGCATCTTCTGCAAGCACTATAATATATAAAAGGAAGGAGTTAATCTTAATTCTAACTGTACAAACTTAACTGATTGTCAAATTCTAAACTAAAGTATATTATTTAATCGATGCAGTTCAGGAACATTTCATTGAAACCTATTATTTCAGTGCAGGTAATAAAATAATTGTTCTAAAAATTCTTCTAAGTAGTTATCAAAATCTCGGAGAGAGATTAAAATTCATTGTCACTTACTTGAACAGTGTAGCTTGACGGGTGGTAAGCATAATTCCTTAGCAATATCAGTGTTTTTTAATTTTAGAGCTTCATCAACCTGTAATATAATTTAAATGATTATTCATTCTTAAGGTAATCAAATTTATGAAAGAAGAATGATACCTACAGTCTTTCCTTTGACCCATTCTGTTGCTAATGAGCTTGAGGCAATGGCAGAACCACAACCAAATGTTTTGAATTTTGCATCAATGATCTTTCCATCGCTGTCGACTTTAATCTGAAGTTTCATCACATCTCCACAAGCTGGTGCACCTACCAACCCTGTACCAACTTGCGAATCATTTTTGTCTAAGGAACCCACGTTCCTTGGATTCTCATAATGATCCAATACCTGCAAAGTTACATTCATAACAATTATAAGCAAAAACCGACAAAAAAAACATAAATATAACCTAACATTCTTATCAAATATACTCGAAAATAATTTACTGTATATTACGACGTTTAGGTTTAAAAATACATTGATACGAAAGTCAAATATGAAGGTCAAACTTCCTATATATATAAATAAGTATGTATATTGCGATGACAGCTGCAATTGTACAGTATTGATTGCAAAAAATAACGCAAGACATCCATTATAATAGGTTATGAACTGAGCTGAGAACTAAATCGTTAAGAACTCACATTGGGGTGGTAAAAAACAGCTGGCACGCTTCGAGATATTAATTTCGAAGTTTTGTTAATCGCGGGCAACGAGCGTAGCAAAGACATTGTATTTACTTTAACATCGGTCACCCGGAAAGACTAATTCGACACTCTGCGCAATAAGTATTTACTCCACTAACAATTCAGTTTATCCTGAACTATCGAGCCCTCTACGTTGGCAATGTACACGATTGGCAGACCTGTTTGTCTGCGAAAATAACTAACTTTAAGAGGGAAATCTGCTACACGAACATAAAATCATCGAAATAAAATACTTTTAAATATTCAAGTTCTTTTAACACTAATTAGTATCACTTAATATTTTCACAGAATATAATTACCGAGATCAAAGCGCAAACAATGAAATTTTATTTTTCACTCGTCGTTACCACGCACAAAGTTTCGCGATAATAATCGGAATAAATCGATGTACACGCGATAAAGGAAACGATACTCAAATTACTTGACCGTTATCTTACTTCAAGCAGGACATTCGAAATAACGTTCCGATAGAAAAACTTCCGCAATCCGTTATGTAATTCAAATGTGCTAGAGATCCCGTTGAAATAAACGAGAGACCTTCCGAAAAGGATGACATACTCTCCAAGCGAAATGACATAATTTCAATAACATCGTAAGAACAATTTATAAAGCGCTATTGTTTCGTAACCTGCGTCGATGAGCGTTTTGTAACCGCCACACGAAATATTTAAATTGCACGCCACGTTCAGTCAGTAAGAAACCTTGATTTACTTCTTCTACGACAATCTATATCACTCTCCACTTCTCAATGTAATAACCGTCGCGCAAAAAACGTAAAAGGTATCCGTATACCACTATCTTTCGATCTCTTTATTCGCATTTACACCAACCTACAATACATTTCAATATTTTTTTTCATATTCACGATAAGAAACAAAAGACAACGATCTGTAAGTACTTCTTCCTCGTTGCACATGGGAACGATTCTAATGTCATTCATTGTTCACTGCAGTGTCCGGGTACCATAAAAAACGACAGGTTTGCAGCATTCAACGCATCTGCGTCTCGGATAAGAGGAGAGTACGCAAGCAGAAGTCGAAGGAGTACAACGTTTGCACCGGATGGACGCAAGAATGGGTGTACCCGGAACAGCTTCGGACCAAGGCTCGCCTAGACATTCGAGAGGTGGTGCGCGGACCATTTTTATCGGCGAAATTGTTGCAGACACGGCCGTACATTAACGTGCCGTCGTTCCAAGCGAAGGAAACTTTTAATCGCGCGAGACGAGGCATTCCCGACGCATGGCGCGAACACTTAGCCTCCAGAGGTTACTGCGGTGACACAGAGGCACGTGTTCTGCAGAAGAATTCAATACCGTCTTACGTCAGATGCCTCGCCACTGACCGACTCTGGAACGATCTAGGTCTACCCTTCACGCAGGGCATTCCCGATCCATGGAAAACCGGGTTTCATCGGTTGGGAGCAGCGAAGCGTCGACGGCACGTTTCCAGGAAAAGGATCGTCACGCGAGCGGCCAGCAATTACGACGCGGACGACGAAGCTGAAACAGAATACGCCGCTGCTAGATCATATCGTAAGTCCGTGAAAGAGTACGCCGGCAATGGGGAATGTTGCCTCGGCGAGGGACAAGGCGAATCGAATTTACTGTCCAAGAAGGAAGCGATTCAGACAATCGAGCACGCTTCCAAGAACAACGGGAAAAATGCGCACGAGAAGATCGCTCGCCATAAGTCGCTATCTTCAAAGATTTCAGGGAAATCGAAGGACATCGGTCCTACGGAGGTCAAGGAAATTCGAAGAGAGCCTGTTAGGAGTAAGCGAGTAACTTTAAAAGGGAAACCGTCGGTGCCTGTTCGAGGGAGATCGCCGAGAAAGCCCTTCGATCACTCGGATTTGAAGAGAACCGTTAGGAAGAACGTTCAAATTGATTTAATTGAACAAACGAAAGAGTCTTCAGGGACAGCTCGCACGCCTGGTGTTACACGTTGCAGGTGTGCGTCGCAGGATCATGGCCATTCCGATGCTCCACGGTTTTCTGCTTGCACGAATCTATTGGAGAAATTGGACATGTCCCAGCGCGTGTTATGCAAGAACTGCGAAAGCATGCGCCGCGAAGACGATTCGAATTTTGTAAATACTGGAAGTCGACCTAGGAGTCACAAAGTCATAGAAAGCGGGAAGATTTACAAAAGGACGACGCTGAAAGTCCGCGGTTGTCTTCGGACAACGAAGCAGCGTTTCGAGAGCTTGAATTATCGGAAACCCGTCGGAGGGCGGCACGCGGTTGCCGACGGGGATCTGACGCTGGTGTGCTGCCACTGCGACTGTCCTTATCTGCGAATAGCGGGCAGCCGAGCGAGCAACTGCGACCGCGGGACATCTGGCAAGACGCGGAGAGATCGGCGAACGGGGCCTCGCGAGCGTAGACGCATTTCAAAATGCACCACAACGCGGAAACGCAGGGGCAATCGCGCCGATTCCGAGAATCGTCGCGGGACACGCGTTGCAAACAAAGTGTGCGCTTCTAACAGCGACCTCGGATAGGCGTTACATTCGACGGCCGCTAAACGGCCCGGCGAAGCGTCGAGCTGGAACGTTAATCGAAACCCAAAGACGGATGCTGCCGGCGGATACGCTGCGATATGTAAACTTTCCGAATGTAAATTTAACAAAGAAATCACGAGGGACATCTGAACTCTAGAGACGAACATCCGGACGGTAGAGTTGCGCTAGCGTGTCAGCTGTTCACTGGCCAAATCGGTCAACGCGAAAGGTGGAGGAATGCGATGGAATAGTATATGATTTTGATCATTTCTTAATTGGAGAATCACGTGGATATCGTAGAATGTATTTTATTTTATTATTACAGGTGTAGCTTAATCTATCCAACATATAAGACGCATTAAATGGTATACGTTTGAAGCAACCTTTATTATCGCTACCATGTTTGCATGACCAGGATTCTTATTTCTCGGTACTCAACCCAATGATAAAGAAATCCGTTTCAAGTATGAAATCCTAAGATTTCAGATCAAATCGATCAACCGTATTAACGAGCAAATGTTTCAGAACCAGTAAGCTGGAGTTGACCGATTCGGCCAATGAGCGAATAAAGTATTGAAAACGGCAATAAAAGTGCTTCCGAATGATCCGTTGTTATTGCATCGTGGTTAAGTAATCAAATACGTAGGTACGTTACGCGAGGAGAGAAGTATGTTCTGTTCGAGTGAGATGATTTTGGGATAACGGCAGAGGCCGGTTGTCGATAAGGGAGACGATAGGCGTGTCGATAGTTTGATCACCTATGACGAAGGATATGAAGTGCCCGAGGCAAAGAGATCGGTATGCTCCGGACGTGATTAGTTTTTAATGAATTACGCATGCGATAGTGATGACCAGAGACAGACGCATCTGATAAGTCTGTAAATGGCGATATCGGTGTCACGACTCGAGAGAGTTTCGCCGTGAATACGATCGCTTCGATAGACCGGGTGAATAATGCGGCTCCGATAAGGGAATTGTATCGTGGAAGGAAACCGAGGAAAGATAATCGCGCTCGTAAACTGCCGATGAAGAGTACCGAGCGTCTCTCGAGCGGATTTTTGAAATTGAGAATAAATCGACGCCTCGCGAATTGGCGGTGTCGTTAGCGAGGCATTCGAATTCAGAGGAATCGTGGTAATCGGATTGGAATTGTATAATACTACAAGTGGATTATTTGTCCGCGAGATATATCACGGATGCTAGATTATTTTTCACGATAAAAAGGAGATCTCTTGTAACTGAATGCCTCGCGTATTATCACGGCCTACTGAAAAATACTCGACATGTCACGAAAGTAATTAATCTGAACGATAAGCAACGCGTCCCAGAATTCCTCGTTCGAGGAGAGAAGTGCAAGTTGAATTTTTCTCGAATTTTCTCTTTCGCTTCTCTATTGCATCCTGTAGTTGGCGTTAAAGCGCGTTTAAATGCGCTTATCTGATAACCTTGACGTGACCTTGGAGATTGAAAAATTCAGTGAAAGTCTGGGACGATGTTAAAATGGTATACGAGCATACATTTTGAGGAGAAATGTTGAAAAATGATATCCATCGACAGAGATAAATCTTAAAAAGGCAAGGCATACTTCAGAAACAAACAATCGTTTATGGCAGTATCACAAATGTTAATCTAACAATAAAGTTCAATGTCTGGCTATAACAAGTTCTAGATTAGAGCATGAAAGATTAAACAAGTCTCAAGGACAATGGCGTGCATCTTAAGAACATAAAACGATCTAATTCAGAGTACCTATTGAAACGATCTTAAAAAGGATACGTAATATATAGAATGTTTGTCTCAAGGTAAACGTATCCTTTTGCATTTATGACGAATAAGTGAGTATTATTGATTTATTAGTTGGCACGAGAAATATATTTTTAATAATTATTCATGGAAATTGTAACGTGAATCGAACGAAGTTAAAGTAGCGAATCGTTTCGACTATTTTAACGTTTGGTTGTTTAATTATGACTATGTAACGGAGATCGTAAAACACACTAATTACTTCCTATCATGAATCTTAAATAGAGTGTAAGCAAACACAAACACCTCTTATGATAGAAGCAACTAAAATTCCGTGATTGGTCCATTCTCCTATTTGCCTTTCACCGCCATCTGTCAATTGCAGTACGAATTATTTTCTATTGTGCACCTTTTTGTTCATTACGGCTGTCATTACCCATTAGCGTGATGATAAGGGAAGCAAAAAGTATTTAACGTTACAGTGAGGGTTTTTAAAATGCATCTTCACCAATACAACAGTTATTTTTGTGCTGTGATGTCATTAGTTCGAGATGTGGTTTAACGATATATTTTCCTAGTTGTATTATTAATTGTAAATAACCTTATCCTTATTAAATATTTTTTTGTAATATGGCAAAGACTAAAACAATCAGTAAAGGCTGCCCTAAATGTGAACAGCAGGTAATATATGCGTATATATGAATTAATTGAATGTTTTAATATTTTTTTTATCTTCACTGTAATCACATTGAACCTTCACAGATCAAATTATGGATAAAGCCAAATTCGACGATTTGTCACTGAAATATTTAATGAATGTAATAATCCATTTTATAACCGAGAAATTTGAATATCGTCATTTTAATAGATCTTATAAATTATTTCAAAAGAGGCTAAAATGTGAATTTTCTATAAATACAGTTTTGTGTTTGTATAGTAGTTGTGAATATTTTACAATATGTGCTGTATGTTAATATTTTAATTTATTTGTACAGGTACCCGTTGCCTGCAAAGCATGTCCATGCGGTCATTCATTTTTTAATGCAAGGCGCAATTCTATTAAAAGTCCTCCAAGTCCTGATAGTGGAGTAATGAAAACTAGACGAACAAATCGAATTAAACGAGAGAAACCAAACTATTACGATGCTTTAGAGTATGACAAACAATCAAAAAAAAGCGCCAAAGTAAGTCATTACATTATGAAATTTTTAAATATAACATAGAAAAATTCAATGCACTTAAAAGGACTGTTATTTTAGATAAGGAAAGCAACAGACACAGCTAGTGATATTGACTGCCGACAATTAAATAAAAAAAAGAAACGAAAAGGGAAAGGTAAAGGAAAGAATGGAAGTAATAATGGATTAGGAGACGACGACGACGAAATGGAAGGAATCAATGGTTTGTCGCCAGAGAAACAACTCACGTGTTCTTTGATATTACAAGAATTGAACAACAAAATGAGAGTGGTAGCTTGGAAGCCAACATGATTCTGTTTATTTGTCAATGTGTCCCTTATCATCAGATTCACTGGCATCTATTACCGGTTGACTCTGATGTAATCGTTTTATACAGGTATTGAAGTGTAGAATACAGTCTACCGATCGCATTGCAAAGCATTAAAATAGTATTAGATAATTTTATGCACGGATTAGTAGCATCGATTTATATAAATTATATATATATTTTTTTTAAATAGGTAAAGTAATAGATGTGAAAGACTGTTCTTAATGGTAAAAATTTTGCATACGTACTTTGTGATAAATTCTTTGTACTTTATTTTTTAATATGACACGACAGTTTGTCAGGTATCTTGACCGTCGTTTCGTATATGTCGGTTTACCTTCTAAATATTTTTAAGAAATGCAAAGGCAATATAAGTGAAAAGAATAA